ATATCTCTTGGACATAAACATGAGCTACTTCTTAAAGAACGTATCTCCCGGGCAAGGGAAAAAAAAGCAAAAATGAACAAGTGGGACTATATCAAGCTGTAAAGCTTCTGTACAGCAAAGGACACCATCAATAGAATAAAAAGGTATCATCCCTACAGTGTGGGAGAATATATTCATAAAGACAGATCAGATAAAGGGTTGACATCCAAAATATATAAAGAGTTCACACACCTTAACAAACAAAAAACAAATAATCCAATTAAAAAATTGGCAGGAGCTGAATAGACAGTTCTCAAAAGAAGAAATTCAGATGTCCAACAGACACATGAAAAGATGCTCCACATCGCTTGTCATCAGAGAAATGCAAATTAAAACCACAATGAGATATCAACTCACACCAGAAAAGGATTGCCACCATCCAAAAGACAAACAACAACAAATGTTGGTGAGACTGTGGAAAAAGGGAAACCCTCCTACACTGTTGGTGGGAAGGTAAACTAGTTCCACCGTTGTGGATAGCAGTATGGAGGTTCCTCAAAATGCTTAAAATAGAAATACCATTTGACCCAGGAATTCCACTCCTAGGAATTAACCCAAAGGAAGCAAGAGCCCAGATTCAAAAAGACATGTGCACCCCTATGTTTATCACTGCACTATTTACCATAGCCAAGATATGGAAGCAACCCAAGTGTCCATCAGTAGATGAACAGATAAAGAATATATAGTACATACACACAATGGAATATTGTTTAGCCATCAGAAAAAAACAAATCCTACTACTTGCAACAGTATGGATGGAGCTAAAGAGTATTATGCTCAGTGAAATAAGCCAGGCAGAGAAAGACAAGTACCAAATGATTTCACTCATATGTGGAGTATAAGAGCAAAGCAAAACTGAAAGAACCAAACAGTATGAAAATCACAGAACCCATGAATGAACACTTACCAAAGAGAAAGAAAGGGACCGGGGAGGATGGGTGGGAAGGGAGGGATAAGGGCAGAAAAAAGAAAGGTGGCATTACAATTAGCATGTATAATGTGGGGGTGTGTACAGGGCGGGCTCTATAACACATAGAAGACAAGTAGTGATTTTACAGCATATTATTAGCTGATGGACAGTGACCTTGAAGGGGTTTTAGTTATTTACTATAATTAAGTGAGAAATTGATTATGTAGTATAATCTGTAAGATCCCTTTAAGAACATTTTTATCAAAATATATAAAGAACTTACATACTCAACACCAAGAACACAAATAACCTGAATAAAAAATGGCTGGAGAACCTGAAAAGGCACTTTTCAAAGAAGAAATACAGATGGCCAAGAGGCACATGAAAAGATGCTCCACATCACTAGTCATCAAGGAAATGCAAATCAAAACCACAGTGAGTTATCGCCTCATAGCAGACAGAAAGCCACTATCCAAAAGACAAGAAATAACAAGTGTTATTGAGGATGCAAAGAAATGGGAACCCTCCTACATTGTTGGTGAGAATGTAAATTGGTGCAGCCACTGTGGAAAGCAGTACGGAGGTTCCTCCAAAAACTAAAAATAGAAATTCCATTTGACCTAGCAATTCTCTTCTAGAAATTTACCCAAAGAAAACAAAATCCCTGACTTGGAAAGATATACACACCCCTATGTTTACTGCTGCATTATTTACAATAGCCAAGATATGGAAGCAACTTGAGTGTCCATCAACAGATGAATGGATATAGAAGAGGTGGTACATGTATGCAATGGAGTATTACTCATCCATAAAAGAATCCTGCCATTTGCAACAATGTGGATGGATCTAGAGGGTATTATGTTCAGTGAAATAAGCGAGGTGGAGAAAGACAAATACTATATGATTTCACTTATTTCTGGAATATAAATACAAAGCAAAACAGAATGAACAAAACTGCTGTAGACTCACAGACTCTGAGAAGTGACTAGTGGTCACCATGGGAGAGGAGTTGGGGCAGGTGGGTGGGAAGGTTAAGGGGTATTAAGGGGCACAAAAATTCTCAATCATAATATAAGTTGAACACTGGGATAGTAGTGCAGTATGGAGAATATAGCCAGTGATTCTGTAACATCTTTCTATGTTGACATATAGTAAATGCGCTAGTGGGGATGAGGATTTAATCATATGGGTAACTGTTGAACTACATCGTTGTATACTTGAAACCAACATAAGATTGTTTATCAATGATAATTCAATATAAAAACCTAGCTGCAAAAAAAAAAAATGGGAACAAGACAAATATGCCCACTCTCCCCACTTTCATTCAACATAGTTGTGGAGGTTGTAACCACAGCAATCAGACAAAACAAAGAAATAAAGGCATTCAGATTGGCAAGGAAGAAGTCAAACTGTCTGTGTTTGCAGAAGACATGATATTGTATATAAAGAACCTAAAAAATCTGATCTAAAACTACTATGATAGTATCTGAATTCAGCAAAGTTATAGGATACAAAATTAATACATAGAAATATGTTGCATTCCTATATACTATCCATGAACTAGCAGCAAGATATATCAGGAAAATAGTTCCATTTACAATTGCATCAAAAAAAATAATAAAATATAATGCCTGGGAATAAATCTAATCAAGGAAGTGAAAGACTTATACCCTGAAAACTATAAGACACTCTTAAGAGAAATTAAAGAGGACACTAACAAATGGAAACTCATCCCATGCTCTTGGCTCGGAAGAATTAATATTGTCAAAATGGCCATTCTGCCTGAAGCAAGCTACAGATTCAATGCAATGCCTATCAAAATACCAACATCATTCTTCAACACACTGGAGCAAATAGTCTTAAAATTCACATGGAACCACCAAAGATCCCGAACAGCCAAAGCAATCCTGAGAAAGAAGAATAAAGCAGGATGAATTATGCTCCCTGACTTCAAGCTCTACTACAAAGCCGCAGTAATCAGGACAATTTGGTACTGGCACAAGAACAGAGCCACAGACCAATGGAACAGACTAGAGAGCCCAGATATAAACCCTAGCATATACGGTCAATGAATATATGATAAAGAGCCATGGATATACAATAGGGAAATGACAGCCTCTTCAACAGGTGGTATTCACAAAACTGGACAATTACATGTAAGAGAATGGAACTGGACTGCTGTCTAACACCATAAACAAAAGTAAATTTGAAATGGATCAAAGACGTGAATGTAAATCATGAAACCATAAACTCTTAGAAAAAAACATGGGCAAAAATCTCTCAGACATAAACATGAGCAACTTCTTCATGAACATATCTCCCTAGGTAAGGGAAACAAAAGCAAAAATCAAGAAGTGGGACTATAAAAAGCTTCTGTACAGCAAAGGATACCACCAATAGAACAAAAAGACATCCTACAGTATGGGAAAATAAATTCATAAATCACATATCCAGTAAGAGGTTGACATCAAAATTATATAAAGAGCTTATGCACCTCAACAAACAAAAAGTAAATAGGTCAATTAAAAAGTGGGCAGAGGATCTGAACAGTTCTCCAAAGAAGAAATTCAGACGGCCAACAGACACATGAAAAGAAGCTCCACACTGCTAATCATCAAAGAAATGCAAATTAAAACCACTGTGAGCTATCACCTCATACCAGCTAGGACGGCCACCATCCAAAAGACAAACAACAAATGCTGGTGAGGTTGTGGAGAAACACTGCTGGTGGGAATGTAAACTAGTTCAACTGTTGTGGAAAACAGTATGGAGCTTCCTCAAAAAACTCAAAATAGAAATATCATTTGACCCGGGAATTCCACTCCTAGGAATTTACCCTAAGAATGCAGCAGCCCAGTTTGATAAAGACAGATGCACCCCTATGTTTATCGCAGCACTATTTATAATAGCCAAGAAATGCAAGCAACCGAAGTGTCTATCAGTAGAGGAATGGATAAAGAAGATGTGGTAGATATACACAGTGGAGTACTATTTAGCCATAAGAGGAATACAAATCCTACCATTTGCAACAACATGGATTGAGCTAGAGAGTATTATGCTCAGTGAAATAAGCCAGGTGGAGAAAGACAAGTATCAAATGATTTCACTCATCTGTGGAGTATAAGAACAAAGAGAAAACTGAAGGAATTTAACAGCACCAGAGTCACAGAACCCTAGAATGGACTAACAGTTACCAAAGGGAAAGGGACTGGAGAGGATGGGCAGTAAGGGAGGGATAACAAGAAAAAGGGGCATTACGATTAGCACACACAATGTAACGAAGGGGAACACGGGAAAGGAAGTATATACAGAGAAGACAAGTAATCATTCTACAGCATCCTACCACACTGATGGACAGTGACTGTAGTGGGGTATGTAGGGGTGGGGGGGGGTACTTGATCATGGAAAGAGTCTAGTAACCATAATGTTGTTCAAGTCTTTGTACATTAACAATATCCAGAAAAATAAAAAATTAAGAATAAATTAGATTAGATATAGATGATTGACAGATGATATATATAGATGATAAATAGATATAGAGAGACAGATTAGAAGAGATAGATAGATAGATAGATAGATAGATAGATAGATAGATAGATAGATAGATAGATAGATAGATAGATAGGTAGGTAGGTAGGTAGGTAGATAGATGTCAGACAGATAAGAAAGAACAGTCAAAGATTAGCATGTAGGCACAGCATTCTAACCAAATCCTATTCTCTGCAGTAGACACTCATTTACAGGAGAAAGCTTTACATGCTCAAATGAAATATAAGCCTTCACTCCTTTCTGACCACAAACTTCAGTATTAAAAATATTGTAACACACAAAAGAAAAGCAAACAAATATCTAAAGCAGAAGGAGATACATTAAAAAAATCTTTGCATCCTATAGACTTTGGATCCAGAAATCCAATCGTTCTTTAAGTTTTAGTTCATATCCTGATCTTGTTCATATCTTCAGAGGTAATATAAATTCCAACATTTCTTAACATTCTTTACAACAAATACAAATGATACATACTGTATATCTAGTAAAAACAACTACTTACCTTTAAACTAGATTCATAGTCTGTATTTACTTTGAACATAAGCCCAAGCCGTAAATGAATTTCCTTGGCTCGACTAAAGCTGGGCTCAACATAAAGCACTTCTTGAAATGCTTTAATTGCCCTTAAAGAATGGAGATGTAAGAAACTGTTAGGTTTTAATATTTAATGTATTTTCCTTAATAGTACAAGAAACATTCTGGTTACACAATTTTAACATAGATGACAATTTCATTAAAAAATCATGGAGAGTAAAATAAAAATAGAAAAAGGTAAGGATAACCAAGATTTTCCTCAACGTTCTCAAATTATTCAACAATATTTAGAGGTTTAACAACATTTTAAATTTAAGTTTCTGAAACATCTCAAGGAGTAGGGAGCACTAGGGAAGTTTTTACAAAGTAAGATGGTTAAGAGCTTTAATCATGATTCTATATTTTTCCATATGAATCTACCTATAGCAGCCTTATATCTGCCTATATCACGTTTTCATTTACATGTAACCTATTTTAGGTATGAGGCAATATACAGACTAGCATTTATTTCACATGGCATTCATACAGTAAGGGTAATTTATGGGAACACTATTGTTTCATGTTTAAGAATAAATACATTATCAAGGAATACTTATGGCACTGCTTCTGACTTCTTTAAATGTATCTCAGCCTTCTTTTAGATACCTCAACATTCATTTCTCCGTAACTTTAACTTTGTTTTACCTCTATTCTAACTTGTATTTTTAACAGGTCTTAATTACCAACAGAAAAAATTCAGGTATGATGGATATATTGTGAGTAACTTTTAATATTTTAATTATTCGAGTTACTACTTCAAAAGAATGGCAAGAAACAAACAAAAAATATCTGAGTCTTTAGTACTCTGTCCTTTAAGCACCTTAAAGGTTACTATGAAGAATCAAATGTTTCACAATCCCAATCTTCTTTATAGTACAACAATATGTATATACCAGTCATACAGAGCAACACACCATGTCTTTAGTTATTTTGGCTAAGTTCCTACTTCTAAAATTGTGTAGAGACATATATGCACATAAATAGGAAAAAATAAGCATTTTAAAAGGTAGGTTTTCTTTAGGAAACATATAGACATCACTTAAAGATAACAGCAAACATAATTTTTCACACTAATTTAACATTGTCACATATGTATTAAAGCAATTAATATTTTCAGTCTGTACTAAAATCTCCACAGTGATTTTATGTTCTTCCTTCAGGCTAAGGGGGTTTATAAGTAATCAAAGTATGTGAAAACTGTCTAACATTGATTAACTTTCTCATTTTCCAAACACTGAACTTCCTTATTCTCATCCTTACATTAGATTTCACCTATATTTGTTATGGCTCTATCTACTGGCACAAACTACTGTAAATATGATGAAAAATAAAAACTATCTTTCCATCTTGACATATAGCAAAGTACAACAGATTACTCCATTACATATAACTCACAGCCTTATTTCTACATGTATCTCTAAATCTTCTAAGTCCTCACTCTGACCTTTGTAACTTCTGTCCTCTTTTCAAGGATAAGTGATAACAAGGCTATCAACAAAATGCCACTGATAGTTCTGTAATAAAAGTCATTTTTTTTTCTTTCTGTAAGGAATATACTTTAATTATTAGATTCTGGTCCTGAACATGAGATCTGGTTCTACTACTAAATACTGGTTTGATAATACTGAATAAAAATTAACATCCATAGAATTACAGGACCAAAATTAAGTCAGCTACACAATCTTTTGTAGTTCTAAGAGTTAAGAACTGTGAATTCTGGTGAATGATATTTTCAGGAAATTAATTTACAGACCTAAATAGTGGTCCCAGTCTGGTTTCAGTTTTATAAAAGTTTCACTACAAAGGAAGGTAGGCAAAGTAGTGATTTTACAGCATCTTACTACACAGATGGACAGTGACTGTGAAGGGGTATATGGGGGGGACTTGGTGAAGGGGGACACCTAGTAAACATAATGTTCTTTCTGTAATTGTAGATTAATGATACCAAAAAAAAGAAGGTAGGCAGCTTAAGTTTAAGATTTCTCAAAGCCATTTGTAATTCATAGGATAAAAAATGTATGACATCTATAATCCACAAGTTTAATAAACAATAAATTCCACACATGACATAATTAAAAGGCTCAAAAGCCAAGGGGTAAGAAAATAATAATTGGACAAGTCACCCAACGAAAAATGCTAAACAATCACCTTCAGGAAACTACCTCAAATATAGGTCAATGCATATTTAAGTACTCTGTATTAAAATATTCAGAATGAACTCAGGCACATGGTTATGAATTCTAGCCATACTCACGTTTATATTCTCATAAAATTTAAATGAAAGAAAACAAGATCCAAAAAGTTTCCTATTCTTCAGTTTACAAAATCTTACATATTACAATCACAGTTAATCCTCAACATTGAAAGTCAGCAACTGTTAGCAAGTGTCCTAAGTTGAAGGAATGATGACTGAACTTCATTAGAGGCCTAAAAAAAGGTAATTATTAATATAATGTATATTTACTAACATTAAAATAGTACATGGACACACACACACACACGTCTGATCTAAGTCAACTTACCAGTGAAATGCATTGTAGTAGAAGTAGACCAAACCAAGGCCATATAAAAAGGCAGCATTCTGTTAAAAATAAAAAAGTCATATTGATATTTTTACATACTTTGAGGTTTCAAAATTCTTTTATATGTTATCAATACATTTAAATGAAACAATGGCAGAACAGTGATACTGGACTTACAATCTCTAGATACTAAACTACAATCCTAACTATGGCTTTTTAAATTTTATGAGTTTCTTTAAAAATAACAAAAGTCCATGACATAAACCAAACATGGCCAATAAAACCTAAATTAATAATCAAGTCAATTACAAAAATTGTTTGCTAAATTCTATAACAACCAACTTTTGAAGTTAAGTTCTTTAAAATGAATGGTGAAAATGGTAGAAAGTAACTAAACTGCTAAAATATAGACATTAATACACATGACAGCAAAGAATAAATTTTTTAAAAAATCTTAAAATAAGATTTTTCAGGTAAAAAGGTAAGTAGTATCTTTATTTAAAAAAGGTAAAGTAGTATCATTATTAAGTATCTCCAGAAAAAAGAATGTGTACATATGTGTATATATGTATATATATGTATATACATATATAATGAAGTTTGTTCAAAGATATTTACTCAAGCAATTATGGATGTTGATAAGAACAAAGATCTGAATGGTGATGCTGGAAACATAGGAGGGCTAAATCCTTGATGAAATCAGTAAAATACTGATGTCCTGGTTCGAAGAGAGTAAAAAAATTAAGAATTCCCACTTTATCACAGAACGGTAAATCTTTTTGTTCTATTCAAATAGTCAACTAAGAGAGGCCTACTGATATTGAGGAGGATTAGGATTAACTGGTTCTAGCAAGTCTATGGATTCAAATATTAATCTCATTCAGGAATAACCTCAAAACTACACCCAAATATGATGTTCAAACAAACACTAGACTACAGTGAAATTGAGACATAAAATTACATCAAAGTCAACCACCAAGGGGACTCAAGATGGCAGCGAGAGTAGAGCAGAAATCTCCTCCCTAATATCATATATATTTTTGAAAATACAACAAATACAACTATTTCTAAAAGAGATAAGAACATACAGGAAAACAGCCAGCCTCCATCTCTATCTGCGAGAAGTCAGCATCTCAGGAAACAGGTAAGATACAAAGCCATGACACTGTGGGACACGAGCACTCCCCCTACCTCCACTGGCAGGAGGAAAAGAATCAGAGTGGGGAGGGCGTGGAAGCACAGGACTACAGGACTACTAAATAACCAGCCTTAGTAATCTGTATTGGGAGAACAGAAACACGTTGCAAGGTGTACTGCACACTCGGAAAACAGAGAAAAGTACGATCCAAGACTGACACTGCGAGTGGGTCCCCAGAGCTGGCAAAAGAAAAGCAGGTGCTTTTTAAAAATCTTAAAGGGATAAGGGATCAACAGCTGGATAAAATCGTCCAAGCACACTCAGCCCAGCAGGTGGGGAATCTTGAGGAACTTTGGGCCCCCTAAGGCCCTGTGGGGTAACACAGCCCCGAAGCCCCTCACTGGGATAATCAGACTGCCAATCATTCCCTAAGGCTCCTGCTACAAGCAAAATGGCTGACCCTACACACCTGTGGAGCAGCCAGAGAACAGTCCTGCCCACAGCAACCACCCAGTCTCCTCCCAGCACGAACCTAACCAGAAACACAAAGGAAGCCAGAGCAAGGTCCACAAGACACAAAGGGATGCCATTCTTGCATAAGAATACAACCAGCATGATTGCCAACCCCCACAGTGCATTAGGCTATCCAGAGGGCTGCAAAGCCCTGCAATGCATTGAGCTATCCCGAGGGCCAATCCACGCATGGCAGTCTAGCGGATTATACCAGACCCTGCTCCCGGTGTGCAGGTACAAGGCACAGGCAACAGAAACTGGAGCAAGGTCAGGTGTGCATTAAGGGGCATTGTTTTCATAGGAGAACACACCCAACAGGTTGCAACACACTGGAGAACATGAGGCTATCCAGAGGGCTGACCTGCCAACAGCACCTCAGGAGATTATCCCAGAAACTGTTCCCGGTGTGCACACAGACAGCACAGACATTGGAAAAGGGCAAGCCAAGCAACAAGCAGCAAGGGACTTTGTTCTGCTAACTGACACACACACAACCTGCTTGTGAAACTTCTGTTGCCATGAGATGGCAGAAGACTGGTCCAGGCAAAAATCGCTCAGAAAACCACAGAGAGAGGGCCTGCTAAAATAGATATAACCAATCTTCCTGAAAAAGAATTCAAAATAAAAGTCATAACCATGTAATGGACCTGCAGAGAAATGTGCAAGAGCTAAAGAATGAAGTCCAGAGAGAAATCAATAAAAGAGCTTAACAACAGACTGAATGAGGCGCAAGAGACTGTTAATGAAATAGAAATCACAGAACAGAACACAGAGAAGCTGAGGCAGACCCAGATAAAAGGATATCTAGGAATTAAAGAATATATTAAGAGAACTGTGAAACCAATCCAAATGTGACAATTTTCACACTACAGGAGAACCAGAAGAGACAGTAAAAGGGATACAAAGTGTCTATGAAGAAATAATTGCGGAAGAGTTCCCAAAACTGAATTAGAAAATAGTCTTCCAGATCATGGAAATCCACAGATCTGTCAACAAAAGGCACTCAAGGAGGACAACACCAAGACATGTAATAAATAAAATGGCAAGGATCAAAGACAAGGAGAGACTACTAAAGGCAACCAGAGAGAGAAAAAAGATCACCTACAAAGGAAAACCCATCAGGCTATCATCAGACTTCTTAACAGAAACCTTACAGGTCAGAAGAGAATGGCATGATACAGTTAATGGAATGAAAAAGAAGGGCCTTGAACCAACAATACAGTATCCAGCACAATTATCATTTAAATGTGAAGGAGGGATTAAACAATTTCCAGGTGATCAAAAGTTGAAGGAATTTGCCTTCCACAAACCACCACTGCAGGATAGTTTAAAGGTAATGCTGGAGATCAAAGCACTCCTAAGGCTAAACAGATGTCACCAGAGCAAATAAAATAACAGCAAAGAAAGCAGACCAACCAAATATTACCGAAAGGCAAAAAATAAAACTAACGATTCACAAAAGTAGTCAAAGAAAACACAAAAGAGTACAGAATAGAACACCTAATATATAAAGAGTGGGGGAGGAAGAGTAAGATGGGAGAGAAATAAAGGATCATCTCACTGTGTTTATATAGCTCAATAAGAGTTAAATTAGATGGTTAGATAGTAAAGAAGCTACCCTTGAACCTTTGGTAACCATGAATCCAAAGCCTGCAATGGCAATAAATATATATATTTCAATAATCACCCTAAATGTAAATGGATTGAATGCAAACATCAGAAGACTTACAGTAATAAAATGGATAAAAAAGTAAGACCCATGTAACACTGCTTACAAGAGACCCACCTGAAACCAAAGACATACCCATACTAAAAGTGAAAGGATGGAAAAAGACATTTCACACAAACTATAGGGAGAAAAAAAGCACGAGCTGCAGTACTTGTATCAAACAAAAGAAACTTCAAAACACAGAAAGTAACAAGACATAAAGGACATTACATAATGATAAAGGGGGTAGCCAAAACAAGAGGATATAACCATTGTGCATACATATGCTCCCAATACAGGAGCAGCAACATATCTTAAACAAAAACTAACAGAATGAAAGGAGGAAATAGAATGCTATCCACTCATTCTACAAGACTCCAACACCCCATGCACTCCAAAGGACAGATCAACCAGACAGAGAAAAAGTAAGAACACAGAGAAGCTGAGTAAGAACACTAGAACAGATGGACCTAACAGACATCTACAGAACTCTACACCAAAAAGCATCAGGATACACATTCTTCTCAATTGCACCTGGAACATTTTCCAGAATAGACAACACAATAGGCCACAAAAAGAAACTCAGTAAATTCAAAGATTGAAATTCTATCAATGAAATTCTCAGATCACAAAGATATAAAACAAGAAATAAATTACACAAAGAAAACAAAATGGCTCACAAACACATATATGGAGACTTCACAACATGTTCCTAAATGATCAATGGATCAATGGCAAAATTAAAACAGAGATCAATATATGGAGACAAATGACAACAACAGAACAAAGCCCCCAACTTCTGTGGGACACAGTGAAGGCAGTTAGTTCTATAAGGAAACTATATAGCTATCCAGGCATATTTAAAGAAGGAAGAACAATCCCAAATGAATAGTCTAAAATCCCAATTATTGAAGCTGGAAAAAGAACAAATGAGGAGGCCCAAAGGCAGCAGGAGCTACATAGTAAAGATCAGAGAATAAATAAATAAAATTGGAAAGAATAAAATAATAGAAAAAAATCAATGAAACCAAGAGCTGGTTCTTTGAATAAATAAAGTGGATAATCCCCTAGCCAGACTAATTAAGAGAAAAAGAAAATCTACACACATCAACAGATCAGAAATGAGAAAAGAAAATTCATGACAGACCCCACAGAAATACAAAGAAGTATCAGAGAATACTATGAAAATCTATATGCTAAGAGTTGGATAACCTAGAAGAAATGGACAATTTCCTAGCAAAATACAACCTTCCAAAGCTGACCAAGGAGGAAATAGAAAATCTAAACTGACCAATAACAAGCAACAAAACTGAATTTTTAATGAGAAAACTACCGAAGAACAAAACCCCCAGGCCAGATGGATTCACAGCTGAATTTTATTATACAGAGAAGACATAATACAAATTCTCCTTAAAGTTTTACAAAAAATAGAAAAACAGTGAATGCCTCCAAACTCATCTATGAAGCCAGCATCACACTAATACCAAAACCAGGCAAAGACCCCACCACAAAAAGAAAATTACAGACCAATATCCTTAATGAACACAGGAGATACTAAACAAAATATTAGCAAACTGAATTCAAAAACTTATCAAGAGAATCATACACCATATCAAGAGAATCATACACCATGACCAAGTGGGATTCATTCAAGGGATGCAAGGATGGTACAACATTTGAAAATCCATCAACATCATCCA